GGGGAGGAGAGCGGGGGGGAGAGAGGGGGGGTGTAGAGTTGTGTGTGTGTGTGTAGATCAATACTCACTTCACTCAATTATCATTCCTTTACTGTGTGTATGGGTGTGTGTGTGTGTGTGTGTGTGTGTGGCTGCAGGGTGAACTCCTCTCCCACTAACATCAAATGGGGGGGGGCAGCACACACTCTCTCATGTCTCACCCACTCCCTCACCCCTCGCACTAACAGAGATTCTCAGAGCGTCAGCAGAACTGCCAACACCGTCGGCCCCCACCAGGGGGCGAGGAGGAGGGAGAAGAGGAGTGGGCTCTGGGCAGGGAGCACAACGTGACATACTAGAGCGGCGGGCAGACAACAGCGCCACCTGCAGTAGTTCCAGGTGTAATGACAAGGGTCTGAACGTTGTAGAGTTCAAGAGAAGAAAACGGAGAGAAGGACGATTCCTCCTCCGACCACTATGGGTCGCTCTTGGAAAACCACCAGGTGGGAAATTTCAGCCAATCCCTGGAGTTTAAGGCCCAGACTGTTGGTTTGTAGGAACTGGAGTTCTTTTGAACAGAAGTGAGACCAGAATTCAGAGCCGACTCTGTCGGACTGACGTGAGGTCGGTTCTGTTGATTCATGGTTCACGTTGAAGCTCGGGGGGAAAAAACGTGATTCATTTAGACTGAAGATGGAGATAAAGTCAAAAATATTATTGACTGGAAGATGCAAAAAAAAAAAAAAAAAAAACTTGGCTGGTGAAAAAAAAAAAAACCACCAACAGTTTTTTCTTCTGATTCCAAAGTCACAGGAGAGTAAAGTGTAAACGACAGTGTTGTCAAATATTCCAGACTGGACTTATTTATTTATATATGCACCGTCAGTCGCCACAGGCACTGGAGAGCAACTGACTGGAGCTGGAGAGGGAGCTGACAGTCAGAACAGGCCAAGGAAGGAAGGAGGAGGAGGAGGAGGAGGAGGAGAGAAATAAACAAGAAGCAAAGAAAGGAATGATGTCACTTCACTTCTTTGATGTGGAGGAGCAGAGTCTCTCTGGAACTACAGACCTGAGGTCAGTGCAGATATCCACCACTGACCGCTCACTGACAACCGGGGACGCAGACGTAAAAAAAAAAAAAAAAAAAAAAAACCCCCAGCCAATCCTGCGATCTGATAGGCCGGCCCGTGTCGGAGCAGCCTGACTGTTACTGACGATCAATCCTGATCGATCGGGATTAATTACAAGAGATCGATCGGCGTTATTCCTGACGTGATTCCTCAGATCAACAGTTTAATTTTCCAATTCTAATCTAATAAATGTCAAAGCCTGAGCTAAGCTCCGCCCACTTCCCCCTCCCTCCCCCTCCCCGTCGTCCTCC